GGCGGCCCCAGACGCGCGCCGCGACGCTGGCGGCGGCCCCGGTCAAGGCGGAGAGCATGAGCGGCACGCCGGTCAGTGCGGCGGCGGCCACGTACGATGTGCGGTAGTGCGCGGCCGCGACGGCATTGGTCGTGAGGAAGACGGTCTTCATGGCGCCGACGAGGCCGACTACGGAGAGGAGCGCCGCGAGGTTGAGGTCTTTGCGCCATCGCGGCCAGTTCTGTTGGTGTAAGCGACTTATACGGCGAGAGAGAGAGAGAGGGAGAGGCATGGTGGTGCTGTAAAAGGGGAAACAAGAAGAAACCCACCAGAGGATCGTCGGCATCGTCGCTCGGTTGCGGCATGAGCTCGACGTCGGCATATTTTCCTCTGCCGTATTTGATGTTCTTGTGCGTCGACCAAGTCCCGAAAGAAAGCTTCCGCGTGTGACTGCTGCTGGACCCGGGCAGAGTAGTCAAGTTGGAACTGTTGTTGCCGTGGCCGGGTATAGCTATGCTCGGTGGAGGACCTGGGTGGGCTCGAGGCCACGGCGAGTGCACCGGGGCCGGCACAGAGACACCAAGGCCAGTAGCACCTTGACTCGCCTCTGACATGATGCTGCTATCTGACCTTTGTTGCTGCTGCTGCTGTTGTTGCTGGTCCAACGAGCGACAATGAGATGCCAATGGGAACAAGGAAGAAAGAAGGAGCAGAGAAGGATTGGAACGGGGATGGCCCAAGAATGCCAGCGTATATAACAAAAGGGCAAAGCAGAGTTTCTTTCAAAAAAAAAAAAAAGAAGGAAGCGGAATCGCAAGACCCTCCCCTGTACGTGACTGGGTCCTAGGCAGCAGGCCCAACGAGCTGGGTCAGGTTCCAGAGGGACCCAAAAGCAAGCAAGGGTTGAGGTTTTTTTTTTTTTTGTCGTTGCCCTTTTCCCACACTTCAGCCTGCTTTCAGGGAAGAAGAAGCAATGCGGGACGGACGCGGGTCTGCGCCTGCCGACGTGCAGCTGCAAGTCAAGATGTTGGGAGACGGGATGTCTTGTCTGAAGAGGGACAAGGTATCCTGAACCGGGGGAGAACCCGGGAAAAGAAAAGTTGCAACAAGTGAAGCAAGTCGATACAAGCCCAAGATGGACGATAAAACGACGGCCAGAGAAGAGAAAAGCAATCACGGTTTCAAGGTATATAAGAGGGGGATAAAAAAAGAAACAGAGAGGACTAGAGAGAGGTGCACGAGTTTGAGTTTGGCGTTTGCTTGATGAGACACACAACTTGTCTGCAGGAGATGATGGGAAATAGAAAATAGAAACTAGAAAATATAGAAAATAAATAGAAAGTAGAAAATAAAAAGTCAGCCAATCTAGCAGCCTTTGCATGTCATTCTAATAACCCATGCGCTCACGCGACTATCATCTTGCGTTGTTTTTTTTGTTATTACAGGGACAATGATGTGCTGCATGGCTTTTTCCCAGACAAAGAGCAAGTCGAAAACACCAATGCCGACAGACGTCACCCGCAGTGTCACTTGCAGCGCCTGCACGCGCAAAGGGGGAATCACCGACAATCGGGGGATGGCCCAGGGGGGGGGGGGGAGGGGATGGAAGAATGGAGGAAGCAATACATACTGTCAAGGGCGACGCGCGCAACGTGGCACATGGCCTGTCCACGATTGAACTTAGGGGCTTTCAACGCCCTCGACTTGTCCTGTCAGAAGCTCAAGGGAGGACGTTGTTGAACACGCAGGGTGAAACATTGACAAAGGGGTGGGGGGGGGAGGATAGCGCAAGTACCATGGCGCGAATTTTGGAGGGGTGGTAAGTTATGGGATGATACGTAAACTAGCAAGATGCTGCATTTCTCTTGCTCCAACAAGGGAGAGCTGATGAGGAGGGAGGAAAAGAGCCCCCAAAGAAGCAACCAGAGGGCAGGAAGAGAAGGCTGTATTAGAGGCGGTCGTTCGTTTCAAGACATGTCACCGGCCAAGAATCGTAAGTGGTGGCCCCGACAGAAATAGATCTGGTCTTGTTTCTTCAAGTTAGTTTCCCGTGTCTTGGATGGGCCTCTACGATCGCGCACTAGTTGGGACTTAGTTGGTTGGTTGGTTCATTAGAGTTAGTTAGTTAGTTGGCTTCTGGTGTGTGGACAAAGTTTGTGGTGCAAACTTTTCGTCTGTTGCGGAAAAGGAAAGAAAAGCAGTGACCTAATTAGTTACAAGGCCAAGTTCAGGTGCTCCGAAGTAGCATCTCGAGACGATGGGTTTCTTTTTTGCTTCTTCGTGTCGGCTGTCTTGGAACCATGCATTGCTCCCTCGCCCTTGTACCCAGCCAAAGAATTCTTTTTTTTTTCTCGACTTTTTGAGACTTGTTCTTCGCCAGTAATAATACGGATACGTTGACAGAACTGTTTCGCGGGTCGGTGCCGTAACTATTTTCTGTGCCAGGCATGGGTGCCATCCCTTGCGTACTATTGCAGCGGGCTGAAAAGATGACTATGGATAACTGATATTCGTATCAATAACTACTGGGAGAATGGTTGGGAACTGTATTACTCGGCGATGCCCTTGAAGACAATCCACTCATAATACCAGCCACCAGCTATTCATTCTCTTGAACCTCGCCGACTTTACGGTAATAATACCAATACAATTACTTGTCTAGAAACCCTCGAGCCCTAATCACCTCCACAATTGTTTTTTTTTACGAGCCGCGAGGGCTTGCGTCAATGGTCCTGCATTGGATTCCTGACCTATCAACTACCGGCTTCCAACTTCCAAGGATACGCCACGCAGCTCGCACAAAGACGAGGTCGTCTCTGGCATTGACCGAGATCTGGAGTTGTGCACAAGTTTGACGTTTCAATCTGTTTGACAGATCAGATCGTGCCGTAACACAGTACTCCGTAACTAGTTACTAAGCGGGACGTTTATCTGCTCCTCCTTGGCCGGCAGGCAGGGCCTTGTTCGTGAAAGCGGAACATTTGGTGGCGTATGGATGTAGTCATGTACCGTATGTACCTACCAGGAAGGGCACGACACTGCGCCTCGTCCCTTTTCGGAAATGGAAAACAGGCACCCCGAGCCGAAGAGACGCGACAACGGTACGCGTCTGTGGGGAACAACTTCACGGCCGAGACGCGGCAGGCGACAGGATGATGGAGTTTCGCGACGGCTCCATCTCCTTGCTCGCCGATGCCTCGACCGCCATGAGCAGACTTGTTGAGCGGATAATCAGTTCTACGCAGGGGAAAAAAAAGGCGCAAAGCAAGGGATCATTAGCCAAAGTTGGTCTCACATGCGACAAGAAAAAAAAAAAAAAAGGAAATCAAAGGTAAGCCGAACCTTGGTACGTCAGCGTATACGACACGGCTGGGTCTTGGTCTGCTCCCGAGATCAGCGGCATCCTCTCCGCCGGTCCCAGCGACACCCGGAACAGCAGCCCGATGGTCCTGGCCGCGTCCACCCAGAGGATGCGGTCCGACGCGAGCGGCACCTTGTCCGTCGTCGTCGTCGGCGGCGCGTCCCACGACGGTCGGCCGTCGCCGTCATCGCGGCTGGCCATTTCCCCGAGCCACCGGCGAAAGACGCGCACGACGTGCTCGCTCATGTTGTAGTGCGTGACAAAGAGGCCGCCGGCGCGCGGGCCCTGCGTCACGAGGTTGAGCACGACGCACAGCTGCGAAAAGAGCTCGCCCTCGTCGAGCCGCAGGTCCTGCGTCGCGGCCTCGTCCGCGCTGTGCACCGAGCCGCCGCCGCCGCCGGGCACCGAGGCCGGCCACACCATGCGGAACGGCCGTCGGCGGTTCTCCTCGGTCACGACGGGCCGGAACACGGCGTACAGCTGGCAGACGCGGCGCAAGTCCGCCGCCGCCGCCGCCGCCGCACCGTCGGGATGACGCGTGTCGAACGGCCGGCAGCAGAGATACGGCGTCCAGATCTTGAGGCTCGGGTGGTAGCACTCGAGGATGAGCTCGTAGCCCGGGAGAGAGGAGACGGCGAGCAGACGCTGCTGGAGAGTGCGCACTGCTACCGCATGAAGCCGACGGCACAGGAGCGTCGCGTTGAGTACTCCTTTCAGAGGCAAATTGTCGAGAATGGCGACTAAGATCTGCTTTGGTCATGAGCTGTCCGGAAGAAACGAGGCGGTACTAGCCTACCTCTGTTGGGAGTCTCTCAAGAGTCGCCGATTCTGATCTGGCTTTTGTGACTTGTGTATTGTTCATTATGCCAATTTTTCTGATAGCCCAGAGTGGTCGGGAACCATGATGTGAGCTCATCGATCATCGGATGAGCGGAGAAGCAAACCTAGGTGACTAGTACTAGACTAGAGGCCATGTTGTCAATATAGTTGTTTGCGCCTGCCAACATTAGTACTAGCTATCAAAGTGACCGTTGCTCAAACTCAATAGAACGATACACTTGAACTAAAAGAAGCAGCCCCAATGTTGACTTGACTTCCGGCAACACTGTCACAACCACAACAAAGGCCACACCCCATACAACGTGACTGGTTTTTTCTTCTTCTACAGAGTTTGCTGATAAATACTAGTTGCTACTTGAACCTGAAATTTGGGTGAAAAGGATTATATTTAATTCACTTCGCTCGCTAGTCTCTGTCGAATGGTTTCTCAGTCTCACGCGCTGGCTTCACGGCCTACGCCTTCTTTTTGACACAACGCCACTCCATTAACGGAACAGCAAGGCTGCCGACACAGGCAAAGACGACACTGACGAGAAAGACGGAGCGAAGGCCTTCATTGTAAGCGTCCAAGATTGCGCCCACCCTGTCAGGGTACTTGATCTGCATGGCCGCTCCAAGCTCCGAGGCACCTACACCCAAAACCTCGGCCGGGTCGACATCAGGAAGAGTCTGCTGGATGACGCGCAGCAGCGTGCCTTGAAACACGTTTTGAGCGACGGACAGAAACACGGTTCCGGACAGACTTTGCAAGAAGATGAGAACGCTCGTCGCGATGGCGAGGTCGGAGCCTGTAAAGGTCGTCTGCGCAGCAATGATGGGTTGCTGGATGCCCAGACCTATTCCCAGGCCGGTAAGAACAAGTGCCGCAGCCCTATACGGTACGTCAGCAAGAAAAAAAGAAAGTCATTTCATCTTGCGTGGCGCATCGTACCATGTAGCTGTGCTTGTCTCGCGATCAAAAGTATACACCAAGCCGCAGCCGACTGATGTCACAATCACGGAAGCAATCATGTTGGGCACATAGTAACCGACTTTGGAAACCTGTGTCCAGAGTTTTGATTAGCATCTGTCTGGGGCAAATGCGCGCAACCGCCCCCAACCTACCATGAAACCGGAGCCAATGACGGCGACGGACATGGCGGCGCTCGCAGCGAGCATGTTGATACCCGACGCGTACGCCGACGCCCCCCGCACCGCCTGGAACCAGATGGGCACGTAGTATGTGATGATGAAGAAGGCGGCAAAGTAGCAAAACACAAACAAGACGCCGCCGGCGAGCGATCGCTGCCTGATCATGGCCAGCGGAACCGTCGCCGTGGCACCCTGCAGATACTGCGAAACCACCCACAGGACCAGCAGCGAAGAGAAGAAGGAGAGGAGCACGACGAGGCGCCAGTCGTCCCAGGCATACTCGACGCCTCCCCACTGCAGGGCCAGCAGCAGGCAGAGGATGGTCGGGATGAAGATGAGCGTGCCGACGAGGTCGAAGCGAGCGAGGAAGCCGCCCAGGCTGCGGGTCGTGGTGACTGTGCTCTCGGCCGGGATTTGGACGAGGAAGAGGATGACGAGAAACGTGACGCCCCCGATGGGAAGGTTGATCCAGAAGCACCATCCTAGATAAAAGCATGAGTACAGGGTAACAACCTGGATCCAAAGTTTGAGAAACGTACTCCAGCTTGCTTTGTCAGTAAGAACACCTTGAAAAACATGTTAGCACGCGTTCACTTGCTATCTGTATACTTTTCAAGGCTCACCTCCCAGCGTCGGCGCGATGATTTGCGCAATCCCCGACATGCCGCCCAAAGCGCCGGTATATTTCGGCAGCTCGTCCACCGGGATAAAGAAGCGAATCAGCTATTCCACTACAGTCAGTCTGGCACCGGGCGGCCCAAATGTCCCACCGCGAGAAAAAGGTACGACGACGAACAAAAAAGGCACCAGACATGAGGCCGGCGCACCCGGCGCCGGCCACGGCCCGGCCGACAATCAGCACGAGGGAGCTCGGGGCCGCGGCGCACACCACCGAGCCGGCCTCAAAGAGGACCAGCGCGGACAAGAAGACCCATTTGACGCGGAACTCGGCGTACAGCTTGCCAAAGAAGAGCTGCAGGCAGCACGTGCTCATGAGGTAGGCCGAGCCGTACCAGCCCGCGTCGGACAGCGAGCGGAACTCGGACGTGATCTGGGGCACGGCGGTGGCGACAATGGACCGATCCTGGAAAAAGAAGAAGAGAGAAAAGCTGTGTCAGTTAGGACTGAGGGAGGGGGGAAGGTAACAATACGCACCAGGGCAATGCAGATAATCATCAAGGCCAGACCGGTAAAGATGGCGAAAATGGCAAAGGGACTGGCGGGCTGCGTCGAGGAGGCTTTGGCTACCTCTGCGGCGGCGTCTTCATCATTGTTGATCGTGTCGAGCAGAATAGGCGCGTCGCTGCTGCTGCGACGTCGTTTCTCCGTGGGCGCACGCCCGTGGACGTATCCATTCGCACTCCTGCTTGTTGGTCAGCATGTTACCAACCTGTTGGCCGGTCAAGGGTTTCCTTACCTTGTCATTTTCCGTCTTCCTGACAGACCAATTTAGAACCAGATTAAAAGGAAGCATGATTTTTTGCGAAGCAGACAAAACGCAGAGGCTCTGATGACAATGGTGTATCTCCTCGGACCTCATCTCTAGGACCGTGTTTCATTTGCGTCAAAGCAGCCGCTTGCCCACGGACTCGCCTCGGACTCGCTTACCCTAACGCGGTCGGCCCAGATTACCTGAACGGAAGCCGGCTCTCGAAATACCAGGTGTTGTGAGATCCGGACGCGATACCACTCAGCACCAGAGCGGCTATGGCTGGATATATACACAAGGGCGGTCGCTGTCTTTCCAACCCTCACAAGTATTGGCTCTTTTCCAAACTAGGAATTAAACACAGTACCTCTTCCAGCTCTCATGGCCTTCCATTACGCCGGGCTCACTTGGTAGGCATTGTCTAGCTCAATGCGCAACAAATTCATTGCTGATGATAAAATTGAGGAGAGAAGCTTTTCACTACGCTATTAAACAACTCTATATCCTGTCTACTGATACATTTATCAGAGTGCTCCAACATTACTCCAAAACGCCTCTATGCCAATTGCATGTCTAGTACGTAGCCAATCCCATCTATCGATTTAGCCTTGTCTTTCAAATGCTACCATTCATATCTTTGTGACGGGCGTCACGCACTGCTGCCTCGACAGCGTCATGCAAATCGAAGTGGAAAAACGGCCGATCCACTGCTGAAATCGTAGCCTGCCCCTTAGTGCTTCCGGCCGTTGTCGGAGGGGACGAGGCTGGCGAATCTTGCGTCTCTTCATCAGCGACTGTGGCTAGCGATCGTCGTCGCTGCCTGGTTTGCAGTAAAGGAGTCGCATCACTGAGAGAAGCGACTGAATACAACGGCCGCCACTTGGCCAAGGCTTCAGGGTTCTGGCTTGTAGGATAGCCGAAACCAGCAGTGGCCAACGCCTTTCGCGTCCATCTATTTCCAACGTTGGAAAAATGCCACTCGACAGTGTCTGGCGCCGCATACTGATCCAGTACGTTGCGCAAGTCGACCAGACCCTGAATAGATGTAATATCAATGTTGTTAACGGCCGAAAAGTCCAGAATCAGGGCTCGCAAGCAAGGCAGATGCTGTGAAAGAAGCTTATCTCGCGGTCCGGCGTCATTCCAAAGTCGGTCTGATTCATGTTCATAGTGTTCGTCCGAAGTTCGCCGCGTATTCTCCATCAAGTGTGACTGTAAAATGTCCACATGCAGTGCCTGGTTCATATAATTGTAGCTGTCATGTAGGCGATACACGAACACGCCAGGGTATGGAGTATCCAGTAAAATGGCAGGGTTTGAAGAATCTTGCCGGTTCAAAGGCAAGAAGACGTCTTTGGTCGTTGTGACGTCTCTTGTAAACTTGGAAGCTGTATCCTCGCCATCGACCGGCACCCGTTGTGAGCGGGCAATGCCGACAAATCCGCCATTGGCTCTCGCAACTCTAATAAGCAACAGCGCAAGGGATAGACCGACCCCAAGATAGATCGAATGGTCTAAAGACTGGAAAATGGCCATGAAAACACATGCCACCCAGATGATGAGCTCAAAAGGCGACAGCTGCCAATATCTGTACAGATTTTTCGGCGGAGCAATCAGGCTGCACACGGCATGAATGATGAGGCCAGACAATGCAGCTTTGGGGATGTAGTAAAACACTCCCGTCAGCGCATAGAGCGCCAGAACAAGCATCAAGGCGCTGAACAATCCGGCAAGAGGTGTGCGGACACCGGCCTTGGACAGCACCGCAGAGGCGCCAAAGGAGCCTGTGCAAACGTAGCCTCCCACAAACGGGCTCAGTAGGTTGGCAGCGCCCAGAGCGACAATTTCCTGTGAAGGGCGAATATTGTAGTTGTACAGCCTGCCCATGGCTTTTGCGATGGCGATGTGCTCTATAATGAGTATAATGGCTACAGCGGGCAGCTCTGGGAGGACTGCTTGAAATAGCGGCATGTCGACGCGAGGGACTCCAATTCTCTGAAAGCCTAGCAAACAGTCAGTAAAGGTTGAAGCCAAGCGCGCTGCATGTACAACATACCTCTCTCTATATGGCCGACGATGCGAAATTTTGGGCTATCGGCATGGCCACGGTTGACCAAGAAGCTAATGAGCGTAAAGAGTACCATGGTGAATGTGAGTCGAAGCGACGAGACAAATGACCAAGCTCGTTTATGAGCTGGATATCTCGATTCCATGTGGGAACAGAAACCTCGAATTCCAAATAGAAGCGCAATAGAAGACAGTCCAATCGCTGCGTCGATCTTAGTCTTGTGGAGGGACTCTAAAGTGTCAATTATAACCCGATATGGTGGCGCTTGGTTCTTAATTCCAGAGATGCCTAGCGTTGTCGGGAGCTGAGTAGCCATGATAGTTATACTGGCAGCAGTGACAAACGCGGATATAGGGATGTAAGGTATGAATTCGATAACCCAGCCTAATCGAAGGAGACCGAAAAATAACAAGACAATACCGCAGAGCAGGGTGAGAGTGCGTGCAATATCCTCATTGGAGTAAGTGAGCATATTGTCCTTGCTGACGACGCGATCGACGACTTGGCCCACGAGCAGGGATCCAACTGCGGTGGTCTTTTCGTGTTAGTACAAATTTCAACATTGTATACAGTGCCACTTACTCCGATGACGATGTCTTTCGACGTACCGAATAGCCAGTACAAGACAGCACCAGTGAAGGAGGTGTAGAGGCCATATGCTGGAGTAAGGCCTGCGAGAACGGCATACGCCATGGCTTGTGGGACGACGACTAGACCAATAGTGATGCCTGAAAAAAGTTGGTGAGAAGAATTGGAGACCTATTTGGTTGTAGAACTGACCGGCGACGACGTCTCCAAGTAGCCATCTGGGATTGTAACGTCGGATCCAGAAGACGGAGGGAAAGAGACTCCAGATGTAATGGACAGCACCCGCTTTCGTTGGCAGTTGCTCTTTAAGCCACTCTGATACGGTCGGTTCCTCTTCTGCGTAGAGATGAACCGAGCCCAGGACTGCGCGTGCGCGCTCCTCTAGATGCTGTGGTTGATGGGCATAGCGGGCGTTGGTATCGACGCCAAGAAGCGATTTGGCAAGTCGGCTACCGGCATTCTCGGACATTTTTGAAGACAAGACGGTCGAATCATGTAGGATGCGGAAAGGCACGGTTTCTGGGGTGGCAAAGGATGATGATGCTGCTCAATGGCAGATGTATTCGGTGTCTCGGTATGCAGCGATGTCGTGAGCAATCGTCGTCCTCGGCGAGCAATGCAGGTTTTGGATGTGCGACTCGGGCGCAGCGACGAAGAGAGAATGAAATATTAACAAAAGAATGGAATTGTAAGTCAGGGCATAGGATAGAAAGTAGTGAGGTAAAGACAAACGGGTTCCATGACGTTTAATTTATAAGACTCTGAAATTCAGTGGCACCGAGCCGGTATAAGCAGCGGGCGGGAGTCGGGAGGTATTGGAAGGAAAGAGCCAGCAGAGGACCACAGTACATGCGGATGGGACGAGGTGCTTTGTGAAACGACATCTTGGCAACGGAAACCGTATATTGACAGGGCTTAAAATTATTGCTTAAATTGTTGTTTAAATCTTGCCACTTTTCTTGGCTGCTCGACGTTGAGTGCTGTTTGTACCTCTGCTAGCGGAAGTCGGCGGTGGCGTCGCCCTGACCGACTTCCGCCCGCTGGTGCCAAGATCAACCTCACCAGCTCTGTATAATACAGAGAGTATTGAGTTATTCGTAGAACCTACAACAACATACTTGCATGGGTAGGATCCTGCAACAGTCTTCGACATGATGATGCCGGGTTTCTTGCAGCCTTTTACGACGTTTGAAAGCGCGTCAAGAACGGGGGACCCTCAGAGAATTTCCGACGACCGCCATAATAAAAGCCTCTGAGACAGTCAAGAACTTCTTAATCTCTGGATCCCCCCTTTCTGTTTGCTGGACACTGTCAAACTGTCACACTGCGCAGCGCTCTGTATCAACGCCAACAACGCTCCGGCCTTGCTCAAGTTACAAGACCGACAGCCGTCTTCTGGGCACACATTTCGGAATAAGCCTGTTAGTTATACATACTCTTGAGCGGGAGCATTGGGTTCATGTACTGGATGGATGCCTGACGAAGCATGCGAGCATGCCCGATATCCATATGTAGCGTCGAATATAGAGCAACAGAACCGATGTAGTAGTGAATCTGGGTTCCTCTTATCATATAGAAACCTCTGTTTTGCCAATTGCCAAGTTGCCCAGGCCGCCCGCTTGCTTGTCATACAGGACGCACCGCCACTCAAAGGCCCACGCTCGGTACCGTTGTGAGCATCATGATCGGTTCATCGGAGACAATACAACTGTACTAGTAAATACAATCGTGGCAGAAAATTGAAAACTCAAGTCGTCGTCAATTCCGTCCATTGCAAGGCTCCCTACCCTACACTTGGAACCAAACCCAGCCCAGGTAATACCAGTTAGATTGCCTACCAATATTTTCGACATGCAGAATCAAGGCGGAGTTTACAGTGACTTCCTGAAGCAAGTTAAAAAAAAAAAGGCAGTTCCTCCTCGCAGCTGTGAAGCTTCCTGTGGTCGCACTATGGGGCTTTGCCTCACGCCCGTCGCTATCAACGCCTTTATAAGCCGCATAAATTAATTTTTTTATTGACAAAGACTGGCTCTTGAATCGACTTTTTCGGTTTCGGCCGGATCCCACCCCTGCAAGCCACGTTGGTGGTCGAAAACGCACCAATCAATCGATGACCATGTCTCTACAAATGCCGGGCGTATACTCGCCCCAAAACTTACACAGAAGCTACTCATCGATGCGGTTGGTTTATGGTGATTTTATAGCATATTACCCTCGCTACACCGAAATTTAATTTCATTCCCACCACCTGACGTTTCATATTGCAGTCTGCTGTAAAATAAGAGCGCCAATGCCCGGCTTGTGCTCTAGAAGGTCTTGACCTAGGACGTGGACAGAGTCACTAGGATTGAACGCTTCCCGCAAGCGCCCGATGTTCTGCTCTAAGTTATGGTACCAGGGCAATTGGCCGAGGTTCTATCCTCGCCGCTGTTGCAACTCCGAGTCTGTAAAATGCGCCATAGAAGGGCAGCTAGGGTTGACAGGGAATGTTCGCTGACTGCGAACATTACGTACCAGTGCGTCTGGAATCATATCATGTACGGTCAAGTACTCGGTGTAAAAAAAAATCCAAGGGCCAAATTTGACATGTCAACAGTTATGTGTTGCGCCGGTTCCGATGCTGCTGAGGATTATCGGTTCTAAATGGTCACCACCCTGGCCGTTTCAGAGCGTATAAGTGAAAGAAGCTCAGCGAGAATATCAGCAATGCGAGTACAATAAGCACCAAGAAAGCACGTTAACTGCCAGGATCAACGCGTCTCTATCTGAAACGGAGTCTTGGCTGTCCCTGCCGTCCTTCCAAATTCGGAGGCGGGCTAGGACACTTGGACAAGTCCCCCGCTCTCCACCTTGATCCGAGGCAACTTGGGCCATTGCCCCGGCATGTCAACGCCGGGGGTATAATAAGAATCATGGGGTGACGGGGGAGCGACAGGCCCGCTCCCCGCCCTAGGTTTGGCTAGAGCATAGCCCAACAAAAAGTCGTTGGAAGCGGACCGTGATTCATCAGGGCGGGATGTGGACGCAAATAGAGTTCATTGGCTGCCAAGGAGTCGATCGGAGACGGTTAGACACTACATATGAAGTCGTGCCTCGGCCCTTTGACATTGTAAAAGCTTGATCGGCCGAAAATCTGGAATTTTTTCTTCTTCAACCTCGACAACCCTCCAGTTCTCTTGTTGAAGGTTACGTATAACAGAGTACACAACAATGACAACTACAACTGGGACAACTACGCGGTCGCGCTCTGCCAAAGCGGCGGCGGCGCCAAGCACCCCACCACCAGTCAAGATTGAGCAGAAGAAACTGTCCTTTTTCGGGTACCTGGACATGATTCCCGGCTTGGCTGTCATTGTCGCCACGGCCTTGACGGCCTTTGTCACCGGCCTGTTCAGAACGGAGCGAGACTCCAAGACGTTTCACCTCCACGTCGCCAACACCATTCTGCGCAAATCGACGAGTCGTCTCACCCCGCTGCAGCTACAGTAAGGATAGCCCGCGAGATTATACTCACCCGGTAGCTTCTTCTCCCAGTTGAACTGCTGCTAATCTGCTGGGCGGTAGGCTCGTTTCGCCCAACACCGACATCATCTACAACACATATGCGCGAGCTAGAAAACTCAAGCCGGAAACTGTGGCTCTTGCTCACGGAGCCAAGGGCCACTGGGTCGGCAACAAGAATGCGACCAATGTCCTGATTTGGTACCACGGTAGGTCCCTTATCGCTTTTGCTGGCAAGACGAGGATATATGAACCGCGCGCTAATACAATTCCAGGCGGTGGATTCTGCCTCCCGGCCAACATTGGCTACTTCAAGCTGTTTGAGCGCCTGCTGAAAGAGGTCAACGCCACCGGCGGCGACCTCTGCGTATTCGCCGTCACCTACACGCTGGCGCCGCACGGCACGTATCCCGTTCAGCTGACGCAGTCGGTCGAAGCCCTGCGCCACGTTCTCGAGCACACGGGCCGCTCGCCGGCCAACGTCCTCCTCGGCGGCGACTCGGCCGGCGGCAACCTGACGGTCGGCGTTCTCTCGCACCTGGCGCACCCGCACCCGAGCATCGTCCCGCTGCACGTCTCGGAGCCGCTCGCCGGCGCCGCCGCGATTGCGCCGTGGGTTTCGCTGAAGCCGGACCTGTCGGACCAGGTCATCTACGACGGTGGCGACATTGTGACGACGTTTGTGGGCGAGCAGTGGTCGACCACGTTCATGGGCGGCGCAGAGTCCGACTACTACACGGACGCGTTCGATGCGCCGTCGAGTTGGTTCGAGACGTTTCCTGTCAAGAAGATGCTTTTCATGGGTGGTGAGAACGAGATCATGATGCCTCTGATTGAACACTTTTATGGAACCGTCAAAGTAAGCATTTTTCTCTTTCGGCTTGACATGCTGCGCGCCAATCATACTGACCGTGACTAGGCTGGCTTTCCCAACGTGGAACTGTTCAAGGGCAAGAGAGAGTCTCACGTCGCTCCGGTTTACAACATTTACGTCGGCGACAATACCGAGACTGAGCAGGGCAAGAAGCTCAAGACTTGGGTGATTGACTTGTTAAAATAAGATGACGTGTGCTGGTGTATGTGGGAATTATTATTGACCTGGTCACTTATAAGCAATGGCTAGGCAGAAGCGTTGCACCAAAAGCACGGACTCGTCACGTCGTCCACGTCGACAAGTCCCGCTTCCGTTGTGGCACTTCTGAAAGCGCAACGTTGAGTTGGAAGAGAGACTTGAAACGCTCTATATTGCAGCCTGGGATGGGACATACACAGAGGCAGTAGTATTTGCGGGCATTTACAAAATGAGATATGATATATACTTTGGTACAGGCAGGACGTATGAAAGATGACAGTCAAGTAAGAACAAGAGACGATTTTGTATGAAAATAATTTCCTTGTGTAAGGGTATTCTCTTGACACAGACGAGAACAGGTGGAACGGTGCCAAGAAACAAAGATGAATTGCGGCGTGTCGCTGTTGTTTAATAAATTATTATTAATTTAAATACCCGCCTGTCACACATTCTGTTATGGGGCTAGGCATCCAGCTGGCTACGTGAGGTTCTGGCTGGTTCTCTTACATCAGCTTCATGAACTGTACATACAACATTCCCACATTGTTCCGACATCGTAACCACCATTCTTGGACATGATGGAGTGGGCCAAAAAGGTGTTCAACTACCTTGTGCATCTGGAGTGGACAGAGAGGATCCAGCACAACTGCACCTTCTGCGACCGCGCGAACTTTGCCATCATCGTCTACGAAGTAAGCGCAAACTCATTTCCCCGGCTCGAAGCGAACCGAGACTTGCTAACGCCTACTCCAAGGATGATGAGATCATCGCCGTTGAGAACCGCCATCTGGCAGGCCAGCAGCACTGGCTCATCTTGCCGAAGCAGCACACGGTCCGCGACATCGAAAACCTGAATGGCCAACATCTGGCACTTCGTATGACTCCGGCAACAAATACTTTTTGCACCGCGCACTTTTACCGTCACTAACGAACACCTGCTGTATTTCTAGTGCAAGCCATGGATCGGGTGAAGAAGCTGCTGCTCGCGGAGAGGGCCGCGGGCATCTCGCCGTCCGCTGTGCAGTCCGGATACCATCGAGGTCGGCGGCGGCTGGTGGGGAGCATCTTTTGGCCCGATATTATTTCCATCCACCATCTCCATCTTCATGTCATTGTCCAGCCGCACCTCTGGCTGCGAATGTTCAAGTACCCGCGCTGGTTTCCACTCATGTGGAAATCGGATATGACGGTGCTGCGAGAGGTGCAGGGAACATTGCATGCACTCCCTCCCGCAACTGCGAGCGGCTAAAGAGCGGTTGCAGCAAGAGATGAAGGCGCCGCCTGGTAAAGGTACTGGCCTCGCGGCCCTCCACAACCTTGGCAGCCCGATCTTGTCCAGGGGAGCTCAAAGGTGCAACGGCACTCCGGCGGCTTCGGACCAAGACATAATCGCCAAGACAAGAGGAGTTTATATACGGATAATCATGGATCGAAACGAAACGACTTTTGGTTGACAGCGCACGGCCGGAGCGGAAAGTCGGGCAAAAGTGTGGTGCCCGGGGTAGCTAGCTACGCCACCTTGTTAGTTACTGGAAGTGGGCTTCAAGATGAAAGTTTGAGCCGGCTGATCATGTTGCTAGCTCCAACTGGCATCTCATCCAGACGAATCAATAGCAAAAAAATAATAGAGCCAGTTATCTCGTGTATTCCGGCGTCGCTTCGTCGCGCTGAGATGGTGCACAAGCAGAAAGGGACCTGCAGGACCCCCAGTCGTCGCACATGTACCCATCCTCTGACGGTTGTTATCCGAGGCTAAGACGCACCAAAATATCAAGCCACGGCTGAGCTACCCTGCTCGACGTGGGTCGCGGTGGTCTAGTGGCCGGAATAGACCATGGGGTCGAGTGACTGCTCGAGGTACGTACGAACTCGGTTGTATCATCTTGTAACTGATTTGTATGGTAATGAGTGGTTTCTCTCAATAATCGGTTGATGCATCTTACATACTGTCACCCCTAGATACATGCTTGTCTACACGTTGAGGCTTGGGCGTCAATATATGTCGTGCTACACGACTTGGGTCGGATAGATCGTCAAAGCATCCCAAGTCGGCAGTATGGGCTAGCAAACTGCTAGCGCAACCCATCGAACGGATATGCGGGGTAACTAAAAGCTTCCCAGGGAGCTATAAGCCTGAGCTGGGTGGCTATGTCTGGTTGCCCAAGTTGAGAGTTGCAAAGGCTTCCCCAAACCTCTTCAGCCAGGCAACTTCTCTCTGTCCCTAGCACCTTTTCCCCTCTCATCATTCCATCCACCAGAGTCAATCGACCGCAACAATGGCGCGCAAGTACAAGAACCCCATGACCAACCCGCTGCACTATGCGACGCCGCAGCTCCTCACTGGTGCGCCGGCGACGTACACCACGGCTCAGCGAAAGCTACTCGGATACGACTATGGTGAGTGGTCCCTTTCAATTGAATGATGATGCACAATCTGCTGGCAAGCCATCATCTCCTTCCCTGAAACAACTCATTGACACCCCCGATCCCAGTCATTGTCGGCGGCGGCTGCGCTGGCTGCGTGCTCGCCTCCAAACTGTCCGAGGACGCGGACGTGACGGTGCTGCTCCTGGAGGCGGGCGGCCCGCACACGGGGATCCTCGAGTCGCGCGTGCCGCTGCTCTTCTCCAAGCTCTTCCACGGCGAGCACGACTGGGACTACAGCACGGTGGAGCAGCCGGGCCTCGCGTACCGGCGCATGTTCTGGCCGCGCGGCAAGGTGCTCGGGGGCTCGACGTCGATCAACGCCATGATGTACCACCACGGCTCCAAGTCCGACTACGACGAGTGGGCCGGCGCGCTCGGCTGCGCGGGCTGGTCCTACGCCGACCTCGCGCCGTACCTGCGGCGCATGGAGAACTTCACCGCCAACCCGGCGCGGCCCGCCATCGACCTCCAGCACCGCGGCACCGGCGGCGAGTGGCAGACGGGCTACTCGACGCTGTCGCCCATGGTCGAGCGCGGCTTCCTGCCGGCGTGCGCCGAGGTGGGCATCCCCGCCAACCCGGACATCAACACCGAGGCCGGCACGCTCGGCGTCACGCGCTTCCAGACCTTCATCGACAGCAAGGGCGAGCGCTCGTCCATGGCCACGGCGTTTCTGACGCCCGAGGTGCTGCGCCGCCCGAACCTGTACGTCGCCTGCCACGCGCACGTCACGCGCGTGCTGTACGACCGCCTCGACAGCGACAAGGAGCCCGCGGCCATTGGCGTCGAGCTCATGACCAAGCGCGGCGGCGAGCGGTACGAGGTGCACGCCCGCCGCGAGGTCATCCTGTCGGGCGGCGCCGTCAACACCCCGCAGACGCTGCTGCTGAGCGGCATCGGGCCCGCCGCGGAGCTGGGCAGGCTCGGCATCTCCGTCGTCAAGGACAATGCCGCCGTCGGCCGCAACATGAAGGACCACCTGTGCCCGACGGGCGTGGTGCTCAAGAGCAAGACGGCGCACACGTACGACTACCTCAACGACAACATCAAGGCCATCCCCGCGCTGCTGCGCTGGCTCGTCACCGGCGGCGGCCCGCTGTCGAGCAACGTCGGCGAGGCCGCCGCCTTTATCCGCACCGTCGACCACCCCTCGCCCGCCACCAAGCCCGAGAACCGGCCCAAGGACTACTCGTCGGGCGGCGTCGGGCCGGATGTCGAGATCCTCGGCGCGCCGATTGCCTTTATCCACCACGGCGAGGAGCAGGCGCCTGCAGGGGCGGGCATCTTCTCCGTCGGACCGTGCCTGCTGCGCCCGCAGAGCGTGGGTACGATTACGCTCAAGACGGACGATCCGTTTGATCACCGTACGTAATTCTTCTGCTTTCCCCTGTCTCAAGTTTTCTCTCCCTGTCGCACCTACGCTAACAGCAACAAACCAGCCCTCATCGACCCCAAGTACTTTAGCGACGAGGGCGACAACGACCGCAAGGTGATGCTCGCGGCGCTGCGGCTGGCCATCAAGATTGCCAACAGCGCGCACTGGAAGGAGTTTGTCGAGCCCATTGCGCGCAACGACAGCCCGGGCCATCTGTGGTGGCCCTCGTCGAGCAGCGACCCGGACAGCATCAGCGACGAGCAGCTGCTGGCCTTTATGAAGGAAAAGGCCTTTACGCTCTACCACCCAGTCGGCACGGCGCGCATGGGGCCCGTCGAGGCTGGTAATAGTGTCGTCGACCTCGAGTGCCGCGTCCACGGCGTCGGCCGGCTGCGCGTCGTCGATGCCAGCGTCTTCCCGGAGCAAATCAGCGGACACCCGACGGCGGTGATTGGTGCCATTGCGTACAAGATGAGCGACGTCATCAAGAAGACGTTTACGCCGGCCGGACCGCCCCTGGCCAACTTGTAAGTAATGGAGGAAGAAATCTGGACAGGGATCTTGTACATTGTCTCTGCTTGGTTGAGCTATTTTGAGTGTCACGTCACAGGTTGATTGGCTGGTGCTTCCGAGACATGCATGAATTTTCTTTTGCAAAGGAATAGTGAATAAAAACTCGTTTTAACGGTCAAGTATGTCAAGTATGCGCTAAAAGTTGCGCAGACAGAGTATGAAGTCTACAAAACGCCAGCGTATGCATCCGTCCAAACCCGAAACCCGTCTTTCGTTTGTCGCTGAGAAAATGCAGACGAATCATAGCGTAAATCATGGTGTAAATCATGTCAAGTACCAGCAAAAAAGACGAGACATTACACGTAAGCCATAAAGCAGGAAAATATTCGTAAAAAAAAAGCCTGGCGAGGAGATTAGGTCCTCGCCGTCCACGCTCCATCACGAGCCACCTCGTTGAGGGTGGACTCGTCGCTCATTCTCGGACGGCCCTCGCCGGACTCGGACGCAATAGTGCTCGCCCCCGTGAGCGACTCCAAGTCGGCGCGGTCCATCGCGGACGTCCCGTCGAGAGGCTCACCGGGTCCGGGCACCAGGCCGTTGCTGTTGTAGAGGGTCGGGCCGTGGCCGCTGCTGTTGTGAAGCACGCGACGGGGGCGTCGCGCCGGCTGCTGTGCGGAGCGCCGACGGACGCTGGGCTTGTCGCCGTGCGCAAAGGCGGCGAGCTCGCGCTTCTTGTTGCGTCGCTTCTGGCTGGCCTTGTAGAGGGACTTGCTGCAGGCAATGACGACGATGATGAGAGAGGCCATGTTTGGAAAGTGGGAGATTCCGCGGTAGATAGATGGCGTGGGGGGAGTAGGGGGGCTGCGGACAAAAGGGAGAGCGGTCTATTTAACAGCAACGCCGAATACAATATGGCATGCTACAAGACGCGACGAGCAGCAAAGTCTAGTAGAACGGTGAAAAAAAGAGGAACAAACGCCCAAGTTACACAATTTAAAAAAAAAGGAGGGGGAGGCGGGAGGAAGAGGGGAAAGGGAATAAGAAGTCAACAACAGGGAACATGGACGTTGATAACGACATCCCTCATTACTCCGCAGGATTCCGCACGACATGCACACTACAACACTGCCAACGTAGAAAAGGGTCAGAAAGTGAGTAGAAAGTGAGTGCACCCCGTTTCTGGGCATTGGAATAGCTCCAAGAGCGCCACCAAGAGAGCCAACTAGTTACCCAACTAGTAAGAGCTGCCCCAAGGGAAGAAAAGTCCAGAAGGAAAAAGGAAACGGCAGCTGCTGATTTGCCAAGAAAATATCCCTCTGCTAAAACTGACCTGCAGGAATTAGTTGACTAGCCTGAGAGGCTGTGCCTTGACGTGTGTGTGGCTTGCAGTGACAGTGGAATGGCAGACAGAGGGGGGAGGAGGGGGAATCCCTATTATGGAAGGTCTGGAACTGGAACTGCATCTCGTAACACTATTGTAATTTATGGATAACCATCTGCTTCAGTGCCTAGTTCCGCCGACCAGCCTCGATGGCTGGGAATAGCCTTTACCCAAACCAACGTCGCAAAAAGGACGCATGACCGGAAAGGAAGGAAGTCCCATGCGACTTTTCCCTAGTTAGTAGTCTTTTGTTTGCTTCATTTGATTGAAATGCAGGAAATCATCTGCCATTACCCCATAGGTACACTTCATACAAACCGACGCGTCAATTATTTACCCACCTCCTCTCTGTTCCGCATCATTCACTCTTTCCCTTTTTTTTTTTCCAGCTAGTCAGGTCTCTCTAGCATGCCGTCCTGACGTCAGCCAAACATCATCTCCCCAGGATCTACCCACATACCCTGTTCCGAAGGTTTCCTCTTTTGCAACAGGCAGTGTCGTCCCCACGTCCGCTTCAGCGTCGCTGGCACGCCTGGTAGGTCCGGCACCCAAAAGATGCGCGCCAGCAGCGGCGTCATCTCCGCGTCCATGAAGCGCTCGCAGCTGACCGTGTCCCACCGCGACGTATCAGCGACAAAGTCGGGTTCGCGGGGCGGGGCCGCCCTGGCCGTGCGTGCCGGATACTGCGTGTCTACTAGGAATGAGCACATGCGTAGGTCCACGTACTTGCCCGGGTCCTCCTCGTTGCGGTCGTTGAGCCCATTGGTGGGCAGCCACGTCCCGCTCCAGAAGCCGAAGCCCGTCTCCGCCTCGGAAAACTCCCCCGGCAGCAGCCCGCGAAACTCGGACGGGATAAACTTGGCGTGCATGTCGCGCGGCAAAAAGTACGACGACGGGAACCGGTACCACTCCTTGCCGAAGCATACATTGTCGCTGTCGCCGCCCAGCCCAGGCTCCTCCGTGTCCCCCCAGAGTGGCCCGTACACCTTGAGCGGGGCCGAGTATGCTTCGTAGATGCCGTAGATGCGCGAGAGGCTGGCGTCGAGGGACAGAAACATGACAATGACGACGGCCAATAGCTTGAGTCGTGCCGGAATCATGCCAATGAGCGATTTCTTGCTGGCGTTGCCAAGCCCAGCCAGAATAATGTGCAACGACATGGCCGCGTTGAGTGCTAGGAAGGGGTATACTGGGTACATGAAGCGCTCTTCCTTGTGAGGCTGCAGCGTAAAGATGCCGAGCCACATGTAGAACGGCGCAACGAATACAATAGCGCGTAACCCAGTTTGGAAGCCGTGGCCAGACGGCGACACAACCTTCTGGACAATGAACAACGGTAATGCGAGCAGAGCCAGCACGAACCAAATGTTGTAGTTAAGCGCCAAATTTTTAAAGTAAAACGTCCACGGCTCGGTGCCGTACAAATCGGGACCGCCAGTTGATGAGAAGATGTTGTATCGGACAATGTTCCAGCTGACGACAGCCATCTTCTTGTAAAAAAAGAGGTTGATCAAAAAATCAAAAAACTACAAATGTTAGCTTCCTGTCTTGACTGCGGCTTGCATCGAATACACACCAGAAGAATCAAACCTGCGACTACCCCTCGAGCGACGCGGATGATGTAGTCAATCAAGGCGTCCTTGTCGCTGAAGAAGGCAAAGACGACCTCCTCCAGCATGTACGGCGCGCAGAGAGCGGCAGCAAACGGCCATCCAAGAATGCCACCAGCGGCGAACCAGAAGATGCCATACGAGGTTCGGAGGCCGCCACGCCAGTTCATAAACGAAGCCGCGCCGAGCATGCACATGTACATGGCGAAGCTCGAGGGCAAGTATGCGGCGGCGGCGTGAAAGTTGCCGGGGCTCGTTATGGTCGCAATCATGAAGAAGAGGCCGATGCGGGCGTTGAGAGTCGTGCTGGCAACCTGGTAGAGGATGACCTGGCAGATGGCACAGACTAGGGCGAGGACGTAGCGGACAAAGTAGAATTCGGCCACCTGCATCGGAGTGGTTAGCGAGGGCAAACCTCCCAGGACCGCGGGTCTCTTCGTACCTTGTTTGAACGCGGCAGCAGTCGGCGAAAGCTCCCGACGAGCGCATGAAGCGCAACATAGAGCCAGCTACGAATGGCATAGTCGGGCGAGTACTCCCACGTCTGCAGGCCGTATCCGTGTGATAGGTAGTGCGTCGGTTCCCAGTAGTTGAAGGTCTCGTCGCAGTCTTGGATGGGCGCAAAGGCGGCGGCGATGAGATTCGCCACAAGAAAGACGTAGAATGCCTTGATTGGTTCAATGGCGTATGCGCTGCGACGTCTGGTTGATGTGAAGGCGAAGGGTTGCCGCGCGTTAGCTGAAAGCTCGACCACAGATTCTCTGCTGCGCCAGTCCGCCGCTCGCCCCTTGGTCAACTCGGCAGAGACTTACTTCTTCTTCGCGTGTCCTGCGGCTGGATGCTCGAATTTCGGCTGAGGCGGCTCTTCCGCCTCGGTTTTTGACGCCATGGTTGTGTGATGGAGTCGGGGCGGGATGCTTGATGGTTCGAGCAAGGGAAGAAATCTGGCCAGCTTCACCTTCGTTGAGCTTGGGGATTGTCGTCATTGCTGGGAGACCCCCGCTAGGTGCTGGGGTACCCACCAGAGCTCCCGATCCGGGAATGCTGAACCGGAATTTCAAGGGATAATTATTTCAAGGAAGATCGAAAAGACAGAAGAGTTGCTCCAGTACATGTATTTCCTTTTTTTCTTTTCCGTTTATGCGATTGGCTACAGTCCGTAAAGTCTTCATCTACGTGAGGAACGGCACACTTAATACTGGGGCCTAAATAATTATCGGCCTACATCAAGGTAATTTAATACTGGTAACTGAGGGGGCCTCATCGCAGTAAAAATCATACGACAAAAATGTTCAATTGAGTACCAGCTCTCGATGAGTTAATAAAAAAAAAGCTTGTCAATTAAACCATATATCAAGAAGCAAGAGTTGTGGCATGTACCCAGTCACCTACAAGTTGTAAGTGACGCCCCCCAACGCCCCCAACGGTGTTCCATCTCCACCGCTTCCGCTTTCAGCTGGACCCGCTTACCGTTTTTTTTTTCTGCCATGATATCGCTATCTTATCACTAAAAAAAAGTTGGCACCAATTCTTCCCTCTGCAGATTGCCTCCTCCTTGGTAAACTACACGCCATATTCACACAACCATGTCAGGCTTCCAAATCCCTGGCCTGGGCCAAGCAAAGCCCAATGAGACACTGCCACCGCTGCCACCCGATCTGGCTGCTGCCGCCGCGAGCGCCGCTGGCCACGAAGACATCCCAGATGCGCCCGAGCAACAAACCACACAAGACACAATCACGCCAACATCCGCTCCCGAACCAGCTCCCGCCCCTGCTGGGTCTGATGCTGACGCCATGGTCATCGACGAGCAGCCGCCCGCCAGCCCACCGTCTCTGACGAGCGCTCTCGAGGCGGCTATTGGCGGCCTAGCCAGCGAGCCCGCCCAACCAGTGGCGGCGCAAGAGCAGTTCCAACAGCAAGCGGAACCGATCGAGCCACCGGTGGTTGAGCTGCAAAACGACGCCGGTGATAACCCCGAGTGGGAGATTGACTCCTCGCCGTACGCGTCCTCGTCCGAATCCAGCTCCGACTCTTCGTCCGACGACGACTCTGATAACGAAGGCTACGAGCTTCTGGGCGTCGAGGAGACGGCGCGCATGCTCATGGAGGCCGAAGCAGGTTCCGAAGATGAAGGTTCTGGGCCTGGCGGCGCTAAAGCGGGCAGCACTGCGCAGCTGCGCACCAAGAATGAACAGGCCGAGCCGGCCGTCACCCGCCCCGCCGTGACCATCACCGAGGCCATGCCGCTCGAGGAGCTCGGCGCCGTGGAGCACATGGTCGACACGACGGCGCTCGTCATGGGCATCACGCCCGGCGAGTACCAGGTCCTCGACACGGGCTCGGTGCTGTGCACCGCCGCGCGCGTCGTCGTCGGCGCCGTCGCCGAGACGATTGGCAAGGTCACTCGCCCCATGTACACGGTGCGCTTCAACAGCGCCGACGAAATGGCCGAGCTCGGCGTCGCCGTCGGCACCACCCTCTACTACACCCCCGCGCACGCCACGTTTGTCTTTACGCAGCCGCTCAAGGGCCTCAAGGGCTCCGACGCCAGCAACCTGTACGACGAAGAGGCCGGCGACGAGGAAATGGAGTTTTCCGACGACGAAAAGGAGGCCGAGCACAAGCGCGCCATTAAGCAGAAGAAGAAGGACAAGTGGAAGGCGAATAACCCCGAAAAGGCGGCGGCGGCGGCGGCGGCAGCAGCCCGCGCCAAGGACCACCCGCTCCGTCAGCAGCAAAATGTCGACGCCGGCCTCAACTACGACGAGGACGACGACGGCCCGTACAAGCCCCTCGCGCGACCCTCGTCGCTGGCCAGTGGGCCTGGCGCGTCGCAGTACGACCAGCCGTCGTCCTCCAGACGTGGTGGTGGCGCCGGTGGCCGACGCGGGGGCGATTCCCGCGGCCGGGGACGTGGCGGCAGTCGCGGCGGTCGGGGAGGGTATGCTCGCGGTGGCGGAGGCGGCAGCAGCAGAGACGGCTACTCGATGCCTCCCCAGGGCCTGCCACAGCAAACACACTACGCACAACCCCCGCCACCGCCGCAGGCACCTCAGCCCGCATTTGGTATGCAGTTTCCCGGCTGGCCGCCGGCTCCCGCGCCGGGTGCCGTGCCCCCACCGCCTCCTGGCTGGCCCGGCTCAGCTGCTGCTGCTGCTCCTCCCGCCGCGCCTGCACCGCCAGCGGTACCTGCTCAGCAGGGCGGATACAACCTGGACCCCGCCATGATAGCGGCCATCATGGGTCAACTCCAGGCGCAGGCCGCCAACAACGCGGGCGGCGCGGCATGGGGTGCCCAGCAGCAGCAACCACCGCCGGGCCCGGGCTGGTAGATGGCCATACGGAATACGCGGAACATGGAATATAGCGGCGCAACGGGCATTGGAACAACATGGCATTTTACAATTATTGGCATAGAATACAAGGTGTAAAGGCGTTGTACGGTTGAACAAGTCATTTTAGGTCATGATTGCAAGCGCACTTGGCTCGTTGAAGGATATTGCCAATTGGAAATAGAAAATGTGTTTAGTGCTTCATCTAATGCATATCCTGAAAACTAAAAAAGTATCACGCTACCGTATTTGCTGCAAAGTAAATGATGCTGTCCAACATGATTTACAGCTCAACCGAGCCAGAGCTGCTGTCCTTGTCAAAGTCGTGGGTGCCCAGCTCGTAGACCAAGCCAAGCGTCATCTTGGCGTGCTGCAGCATGTGGTCAAAGGACAGGTACTTGATCAGGTCCTCGGTGGAGTGGATGTGAGGGTCAGAGTCCTCAAACGCAGACTCGATAACAAACGCCGAGGGGTAGCCGGCCTTGGAGGCCGAGGCGTGGTCGGAGCAGGCGTAGCCGCACTTGGTCTCGACCCAGGGGATGTCGCAGTACTGCATTGTGTCAGTCACAATTCAAGTTCTAAGCTGAGAAAGGCATAAAATGTACCTCTTCAATGACGACCTTGATAAACTTGGTCAGGCCGGGGTCGACGAAGTCCATGATCACGCCGACACTCTCGGGCTTGCCCTTGTCGAGGGTGCCCTGGACATATCCCGTCATGTCCTGCTGGAGCATGGCCTTGACGACGCGACCGGCACGCTCGTACTCGCTAAAGATGGCCTGGCTGCCGAGCAAGCCGCCCTCCTCGGCGCTGTACCAGTGAAACTCGATTGTGTTTTGCGCCTTGCCGTCGACAATGTCCTGGGAGCGGAGCAGGTTGCGGAACGCCTCGAGAATGGTGACGGTGCCGCTGCCGTCGTCGTCGGCGCCGGGGGCGGCCATGAACGAGGGCAGCCAGAGGTTGATGGAGTCCTGGTGGGCGCCAATGACAATCGTGTTGTTGGTGCGGCCGGGGATGGTGGCAATGACCGAGTGCTGCTTCCAGGTGTGCGGGAAGCTCGCGGCGAAGACGGTCTCGTTGGCGCCGGCCTCCCGGATGATGCTGTTGACCTTTTCGAGGACCCAGTCCGAGGACTGCAGGCCGTAGTCGGATTTGTAGTATCGCGTGAAGAAGCTGGTGAACTTGTCCAGGTTCTTCTGCATCTCGCTCTTGGAGAGCGTCGTGGAGAGCTCGGCGACGGCCTTTTTCTGCGTCACCTTGGTAGGAAACTGGACGGTCGCTCTTGTTCCCGTCTTGGAGGCGCCGAGTTGGCGGTTCTCGGTAATGTCCATGAAGTTCTGGCCGTTCTAGAATCACACATGTTAGCTTCGGGGCCCCGTGTGAACTGGCCGTCTCCTGGGACGGCAGAAGCGATGGCGTACTCGGCGAAGCTCCCATTTATCCTCCTCCGTCACCCATTGCTGCTTGCCAGGCGCCGTCTCAACCAGGAAGGTCTGCTCGGGGTGAAGCACCACGTGCTCGTTCTCGTTGGGGGTACCCTTTTCGATGAACCGACCGGCGACGGCGGGCACGCAGGCGGCCAGGACAGAGGCCGTGGAAAACTTCATGGTTGCGGGTATGTAGTCGGATAGGCTGTAGGATGTGTTGTTGGGAGGAGATGGAACAAGAACAATGACGTGGGGAGCGAGTTGGGAGGCGTTGAGTTCCACTGGCAGCTGACGGGAGTGATGGGGCCTGGGTGCGGTAGCCTGGTGGCACCCGGGGTAGTGGGTAGCCTAGATAACAAGGTGGCAGCGCTATTCTAGACTAGTCATTCTGTTAATCGCCTTGTCTTATTTATTGCAGCTATCTGACTTGCTCTTGTTACCTTGGTTCCTGCCTCTCTCTTTTTGCAGATGTGTTCTCTGTTCTCTGTTCTCTGTTCAGTGATGGCCGGCACCGGGTCCTTGCATAGAGCTAAGCCCACTTGGGTCTAGTAGCTGCTTGCTTTGATCAGGTAGGCGCCAGCTATATTCATTTGGTGCACTATGAGCGCTATAAATAAGCACCTGCATCGCCGCAAACCTGGACTCAATAACGACTATAAATTCATATTTTGGAGACTCTTGAATCCGACACATAGGTTGCACAGGGATAGTTATATTGGACCAAATCTCCTATTCAGAGTAATTTGTAAAAAGAGTCGAGTTAGGTGCGTCTCAGTCCTTCCGTGCATTGAGCTATTCCGCGCATTGAGTTCTTCCATGCATTCAGCCATTGTGCCACTCAAAGCTTCACATCCGCATACTCCTCATCAATGACCGTCAGCGCGCCATATCCGCCCTTGTCCACGACCTCGTCGTCGACGACCATGGTGGCCAGAATCCTCGCCACCTCGGTGGTGCTGTAGTTGTTGCTGACCTTGTGGTGGCAGCACGGCGCCTCGAAGAAGCTCTCGCCCTTGGTCAGCACCTGCGTCTCCTCGTCGTTCATCTTGTTGATGACGCTGCCCTCGAGCACCAGCACCGACACCGACGCGCCCGCGTGCTTGTGCGGCGGCGTCGCCGAGTTGGGCGGAAACGTCACCAGGATGCCAATCGACGACTTGCCGGGGCAGTTGGGCAGCTTGTAGTGGTAGGCAACCTCGACCGACGGCAGGGGGCGGCTGTGGGACAGGAAACTAGTGGTTAGCCTTGCTTTTTTGTCTTTTTTTTTTCTTGGAAATCTTCTCAAATGCGCTCGAATCTGCGCCGAGAGGAGCATAAAAGAGAGCCAGATCGCCTCCGTCCAGGATGTGTGTACTGACCCGCGCTCGTACTTGGGAAGTTCGGGGATCGTGAAGACCATTTTGTGAGTAAAGCGAGAAGAAGCTGGCGTGTTTTTCTAGTGTTATGATGATGCTTTTTAGAGTGATTCGAAAAGAGTTTGATGTTCATCCCATCCGTCGTATTTATACAATGAGCTTCGGAGCGCCAGCTGGATGCCTTCCGCTCGCGGCCGCCGGGTGGGGCTCAACATCCGGTCGCCGAATACCCGCATACCCTATCGATACGAGATTCCCGCCCGCACACCCGACGCGCTGACCCGTTCGCGTCACAGTACGGCTATCATTCTCCGGAAACGGCAATTCAGTGTATTTTTACACAGGGACGCTTCTAGAAGATGACAATGACGTACTAGCCACGTTTTGTATAAAGGGACCTGCTGAGCGACCTGTGTCAAACTCAGTCTCCTGGCTTAAACTAACAAAAACGACATTCCTCAAAACTACCTTTATCATTTCACCATCTCTCACACCAACCTGCGTGCCAAAACCATCGTCTTGGCTATTCGTATTTCTCAACCAATTTTCGGCATGTCTGCTTATCCCTCAACAATGAAAGTGGTCCACCAGCCAGACCCCAACTCCATCAACCTGGTGCTCGAGGACGGCCCGCTTCCCACGCTCACACATGCCGAAGATTGCCTGATTCGCATCTACACCGCCTCACCCTGCCTCGGTGAGCTGCACTGGGAGGAGAAGTTTCCGTCCCTCTTCGAACCCGGCCGCGAGCGGGTCCCGTGCACCGAGGCCGCCGGCGTCATCGTCCAGGCACCGCCCCAACCCGACCATGACACCACGCCCAACGAGCGGGTCTTCAAGGCGGGCGACGAGGTCTTCTTTCGCCTGCAACCGGCCATGACGGGCAACCTCCGCGAGTACTCGATCGCCCGCACCTCGCAGATGGCGCACAAGCCCAGCAGCCTGAGCTGGGTCGATGCCGGCGCCACGCCCTTGAGCGCACTGACGGCCTGGCAGGGCGTCTTTGACCAGGGCCTCCTGGACCACCGCGGCGTGTTTGGTCACGCGGCCGCGCGCGAGAGCAATGCGCGCGTCTCCGTCCTCATAACAGGCGCGGGGGGCGTGGTCGGTTCGTGGGCGGTCCAGCTCGCGGCACTCGCGGGTGCAGGCGCCGTCGTGGCTTACACGGGAGGATCGTCTGCCGACCACGTCAAGCGCCTTGGCGCTACCGAGGTGATTGACTATCGAAAAAGTGATCTGGCGGAATGGGTGGCGCAGGATCCGGAGCGGCGATCCGTGGACGCCGTCTTGGACTGTGTGGGCGGCGCCACGCTGTCTTCCTGCTGGCACGTCGTCAAGGATGCTGGTGTTTTGATCAGCGTGGCGAGCGACCCTGGGCAAAACAAGCCCGCTGCAATGACAAAGACGCTCTCTGCTTCAAAGTGGTTCCTCGTGAAACCAAAGGGCAGCCAGCTCGCGCTTATTGCAACGCTAATGGAACAAGGCAAGTGCATGACGAAAGTGGATGGCGTCGTCGAATTTGAGGACTTTCAGGTTGCGTTTGACAAAGTAGAGAATAAGACTGCGAAGGGAAAGGTTGTCATTAAGGTAGCTAAATTTTAGCAGCAAGAATGATAATCTTCCAACTCCCATACCGATATTATTAACAAGGACGATCGAGTGATAAGAATAATGGGACAGGCAAAACAGCTACCGTAGTAGAGTCACTAGTAGCTACCTAGTTTGATCCGGTTCCTGAAGAAGCCACGCTTCCTTCTCGACCTCGCTGGAGTCTGCAAAGATATTTCCCGGAAAAGAAAGGACACCCTTAGACTGCTCTAGAGGATTTCGTATAATTCCCCAACTTACTATGTTGCCTCCACAGGCTCATACTTTCAAGTACTGGCTTTGTGGAGGTTCATCCCCGACAAAAGTTATACTTCAACTGGCGCCGTGACAGAGACGGTGGCGGGGCGTCTATGTCGTTTAAACCGAGGTCACTTGGGAAGTAAACATTCTTGAGACTAGAGAGACAGCTTCTTTCTGGCTGGACAATTCAAGTCAACGTGGCTAGTACAAAACTACACCACTACGCAGCTGGCTCAAACTTCCCTCCTTTGTAACCACCCAACCATTTCTCTGCTCTTGCTAGCACGCTCACTTGCTGCTATTTAAACTCTCGAATCTATATCATTAATCACCAATCACCCGAGACCCATCGACCCACATTCATCATGTCGCGTCTTGCCCGCGCTCTCGCTGCCGGAGCCGCCCTTCTCGCCCTGCTCGCCTCCCTAACCTCAGCCCTCACCATTCCCGAAGACCTCGTTGACGGCGTCTACGAGATTGACTGGTTGCGCGGAAGCGAGGGCACAATCGCCTCGTGGAGCTACTTTGAAATGCCTCACGACGTGGAGTTCACCGCGGTCAAGTTCAACGGCAAAGTGCCGCTGCCCGTCAAAGACAAGGCCGTCGGCTGCCTCCTCAAGGACCGCCGCCTCGACAGCGTCACGCTGACCGATTTCACCCGACGCGACGATCAGGACAAGGCCATGAAGATGCTCGAAAACTGGTGCGAGTCGACCGCCTTTATCCAAAAGTGCGCCATCGTATTTGCCCTCTACAACGACATGCTCTGGTACGTCTGCAACTGGGACACCAGCTACCAGCTCCGGTCCGTGCAGCAGCGCTGCTCCCGGCTCGAGCTCCAAGACGCCCGCAAGCGCATGGACGCAAAGTGCGGCCGGGACAAGCGCAGCGAGGTGACGATTGGTGCGTGGACAAAGACGTATGGCAGGAGTCACCGCTTTGGTGATATCTGCGAGGGAAAGGAAACCTGGACTTGAGGAAGGGTGTCATGGCCCGTTGACACTGGTGAGAAGCGCTACCCGCAGCGTGCTTTCTTTGAGGGTACAGTGCAACCAGCCATCGTACTGCCGGGGAGCAAACCGTCGGAAGTGCCAAAGCAGCAAGATACGGATGGTCATGAAAGAATGGATTACCTTTCAAAAGGCAGTATACCGAAATGTATAGTACTAGGACTTGGGGACAATGAGCTTTGTGTTTTCTTTGTGTATGTGAGCCGCGCATCGACAAAGCAGATCTACCCGTAGCCCTTCTGAAAGGCCCTTCCTTTCAGATCGATGTAACAAAGACGCTAGCCGGGTCCTGTCGAGATGGACAGAGGTATCTGGCATGTATAAATGAATACGCCTCTTCTAATGCGATTCTCAAGATTTTTATGTCAAGTTAGAACAAGACAGTTTCACACCTGTACCAACCGAATTGAAGGCCTCCATTAGCCGAATTCAAGACAACCGTCAACTCCAACGCCACGCAACAAAACTCGCAAACACACACACACACACACACAATGTCACCAAAAAACAATCCAAGACGGAATGGCACACGCATGGCGCTGCGTCAGACTCGGATGCGCTCCAGGCTCTCGGGCGCGGCGCCGCTCATGTCGGGCCTCGACGACAAAGGCCGACCGAGAGAGCGACTACCCAAGGACCCCGAGACTTTAACGTTTGACCAGGTAATCCAGAGGCTGCGCCGAACCAAAATGAATCTGCGGCGGCGACCTCCTGTGGCGCCGAAGGAGAGGTCGAGTCGGCGCGGAGGCACTCTCCGCTCCGCCACAAGAGCACAAAGAGTCGCCAGATGGCGCGGATACAATTCTCGATGCTCAGCAGAGAATGTTTTCGCGAGTTTGTATCGCAGCACCATGGCGTCCGAGGGCTGGGGCAGCGTGGAGGGCAACACGGGCAGACGCAGGCTCCCTCGCGACATTCTGCTAAGCATGCTCCCAAGACTGCATACAGACTTTTAGATAGTAGAGGGAAGATGGAGTTCGCATAGCCAGTTTTCAATGCATCATAGATTCCTGTGTCATCGCGTCGTCGAAATCGTCTTCTTTTTGCATCCGTCGAGGTTTACAGTCCCATGTCATCATCGCTGCCGTCGTCGTCAGCCCCCGCGCCGCCACGCTCCTCCTCCTCCTCCTCTCTGCGCGTCATCTCCGCGCTCGCGCCGAGTTTCCTGACGCCCTCGACGACGGCGGTCAGGAAGCCCCTGCTCTCCGCGAGCTCCATGGCGCCGATGCCGCGCAAGCTCATGACGGCGTCGATGCCGGCGTCGAGCTGGGCCGTGCTGGCGCGCATCTTGGAGCCGCGCACCTCCTGCAGGTCGCGCAGCAGCAGACGGACCTCGGACGCGGCGGGCACGTCGTCGGCGGCGTGCGTGAGCAGCATCTCGGCGAGCTCGTACCAGTGGTACGGGAGGGCGCCCGACGGCGCGTCGGCCGTGCAGGACGGCAGGAACGGCGGCGACAGCACCGTCTCGTCGGCGTCGTCGCGGCTGTTGATGCGGCGGGCGTTGCCGCGCCCGTCAGCGCGGACCGGCGGCGGCGGCGGCGGCGCCCAGCCCTTGGGGTCGATGGTGGTCTCCTGCTGGAGCACGTCGCGCAGGGACGCCGGGTGCAGCCAGGCCGGGGCCACAATGTTGGCGCGGCGCTGCTTCTTCAGCACAATGGCGAGCCACAGCGGAATGTTGCTTCGTCTCGGCGGCCGGAGAGCCGGTGTAGGGCCCTGTTTGCAACACAGTGGTTAGCATGCCTGCAGTCGCGAGGTTCGACGAGGAGACGCGCGTGGTCGCAACGCGGTTGCACGTACTGCGAGAAGCTCAATGCTGTCCAGCCGTTGCCGCGGAACGACTGTGACGAGCTCCATTTCACATAGGAAGGCAACCTCACTGGGAACCAGGCCGCTGGGCAACGGAAGAGCCATGTTGGCAGCAACGACGTGTGATGTTGAAGTTGGGACGGCGGGGTTTGATCTGCTTTGACGCCAAAAAAATGCCCCTCTTGTCATGAGCCGCGACCAAGTGGGCATCGACATGAGCTTACCTCTTACACGCAAACAATGAAACTAAAGTTACTTTTTTTCAAAGTAATATGCCGATTATAGCTCTTCGATACATAAATACAGTTGTTCTTTACGCTATCTAGAAATAACGAAGCTTAATCTTAACCTTATACATCATGCATGTTACTGCCAGAAGTCCCGTACTCTCGCAGCTGAACAACCACGACGAATACAGCAATATATTTTGAAGTTCTGAAAATTTAATCAATAGCTTCTTAGACAGTTAATTCATCAACTCTACCATCCAAAATCAATTGGTGCTGCGCATTGCTATCTGGCCGTAGCCGTATCCATCCTTGTCCCATCTCTTCCAAAGCCTCCGATAAAAAAGCGAGACGCCCAATTTCCTGTTCTACTAATACCAAATTTGACCTTTTAACACATGAGATCATTCATCCAGATTGCCGAAATACCATCATCCCCTGGCCAAGTCATGGAGTCATAGCCTTCGAGCTGGCCATATCCCGTCGAGGTCTCATATTGGCTGGCCGCAACAGTCTCCTCCAGGTACTCTGCACACAACGTATCGCACTGACTCTTCCAGTATGTCGCGCCACCCGTTCTCAACTGGAGAACAATACACCCCAGTAGATTCGGGAGTTCTTTGCGAACGCTGCCGGAGCTTGCGGCGGCAACCCCAATGGGGAGCAGCAGCTGGAGCTCGTTGAGCATACGCTGACCGCAAAGGAGGTGCGCCTCGGCCGCTTCTCGGTCACCATTGAGGGATTCAAAGACGGCAAAAAGCATCGAACAGAGAATTGCGGCGCGAGTACCGCCGCATATTTCGCTAGAGTCCCGCATCTGCTTGAGTGCGGTGCCGTAATGCGCCAGCGCAAGGCTATACTGGTCGTTTCCGGAGCCGGGCGGTTCGCAGAGGGGGGAAACCCTCTGCTTGCAACCAATCAAGATATGTACCGCCATGTTTGCGTAGTGTACTGCGAGGTTCTCGTTTACTAGACGGGGCACCGTGTCCGTCCAAAAGGCAGCATCAAGAATGCCAATCTCGTCAACGGTGTTGATAGCAGTCGTAGGGAGTATATCAGTCATCAACGAACTTCCCACACTGCTACCGTCACTACTCGACATGGCATACTGCCCTTGAAAATATCCAGGGGGCTGGTAGGCGTGAGGATGCGGTGGTGTAGCCGGCTCAGCACCAGCAACCGAAGGGGCGACGGCGCTTTCGCTCGGGCTGGAGATGGGGGAATTCTTTTGGTCACACATAGCGGCAATTGGTTTCGATTGCGTTTCAGTCTCGGAGCAAGTAACTATTGTGCGCGGAGCATTGGACCTGCTCCAGGGAGGGTCATAGCCGCCGCACACGCCCGACCACTTGAGACAGCGGTCGCAGCTGGGCTTTACCTCGTCACATTTGACGTGGCGCTTCCTGTCACTGGTTAATTTTTTTCAAGTAGCAACTTTACAACCCAATTAAAAGCTGAGACTCACTTGCCTACCACAGTGTTAGCAGACTTTACATGTGACGGAAGAGCTGGACTGCCACTTACACGAAATGCACCCTGTACGGACCTTGGGGTATTTGGCTCTCCGATGCCTTGGGCGCTCTAAAACGGGAAAACTTGTCATGAGAAGTCCGTGAAAGTGTTTACTGAGCATAGTTAGTCATGTGTGGGTTGGGCTGTCGGACCAGGCCAGCTATTTACCTGGGGACAACTCCAGTCGGAAGACAAAGTCGTTGTTTCTCGGCCGAAGCCATCTAGAACGACAGCTGAATTGATAAAAGAATATTCAAATTTTACTTTGAGTACTTCTTCGTAGAAATATATGCCTTTCCGTTCCAGTTGAGGCTTGCACAAGCGTCATGATTTGTGCAAGTTGCGAGAAGGGCAGAAGGCTACAGTGATATATATGTCTTCAGCCGCTCTACCTATGGGGGTCGGAACCAGGTATTCGCAGGCCCCGAAGTCCGAAAATACCGTACTGTGCAGTCTAGACTGGTAGAGGCAGAGCCGAGGATAACAGTCGCTAGGACAGAAAGGTGGTACTCAGAAAGAAGCCCAGAAGCTGTGGCACGTTGCAACCTAGTAGAGCGGTGACACTAAAGGTCTGAGTCACTATCTGAGCGATGGGATGGGACGAAAGAGGAAACAAAATCGGACGGAGTCAGATGTGACCGCTGCAACCTTTCACGACACCCCGCCGGTAGACGTGGTGAGATGGAGGGTAGGTCACTTCTCGCCCGAGTCCTTGGCAGGAATCGATTTGGTTCGGTTATGTCTCCGACATTACGTCCCCCTCCTCATCGGGAGAGGGTGTGCAATGCCGTCACAGTATGACGGAAACAAGAGAGCATACGGCTTCATGGCTGCCACTCAAGGGGTCTCGGGGTGTTGGCGGTCAGTATTTCGGCCGCCCCGAAGAGTGGAACATGGGTTTCAAAGGGTTCTTGTGTGAGTACTCGGCAGTCGCTAGATTCCGTCGTGCTCAATACCCCACGTCGTACGCCCCGTCAAGGTCAGACGAGACGGGAACAAGGCTGCATCAGCCCTATGACATGGCGAGCCACCGGGTCGGGTCGGTTGCTTGGTGGCCAATGCCCGCCCCAACGGCAGATCAAACTCGCGAGATTTCATCACCCAGCTCTAAGGAGAGTTGGGGGGCTAGACTCCTCGCCGATGAAACTAATAAACAATCGTGCCTAGTCCAAGGTTGCGTGTGTAGCCGCGCTGCCTCCGCATCCATCGGCGAGAGTATTTTGGTTTAGTGCTTCGGTTTCAATACTTTGTCCAAACTTGTTTCGCGGTGACGAGATATTCTTCGCCAATCATAGAGGCACAGGTAATGTAGTGTAAGCACGTTGCGTGGGGAAGTTTCGGTGTAGCACTGTCGTCTGCATGTAGAGTACGGGGAAGCAGCCGTGTGCAGACTAGCCCGATTACAGTGTCAACTTTCGCTCCAGCTCGTCAATCGCGGATTGGAATTGGCAGAGACGCAAAAGCCATCGCAATTCTCGATACTCTCACTCTACTGTCTCACCGTCTCAGAGACGAGGCAGATAGGGAAGCGAGAGTCACGACATTGGTTGGAAAGAAGCCGAGCTAGACTGGGGGTGAGCGACAGACAGAGGCCACGGGACTCACTCGCCTGTGCCCATGGCCCCAAGAAGAGAAATAAGAATAAAGTTTTTGAGCGAATCGAGACTCAACATTTGAGCTGATGAGATGATCCTTGCTATGATCAACTCTTGGTGGTGTGGTGGATTCCGTCCCCCGGCTAGGTGGGTTCAGATCGGCTGGAGGTCCGTCGAGCGCCGACGCCGATGGGTTCGATGGGTTCTCGGGGCAGAGTGGGGAATTATAATATACAACATGTCATTCGATCGAATCATACAGTGCAGGGCTGTCTGAAATCCGATAAGGCGGCCGGGAGTTACCATAGTTGGTCATTGGAGAAGCTTGAACATCTGCCCGGGCGACGATTATGCTGCAGCTAGTCCGCCTCCATAAGGCTGGCGCCGAGAAAAACGCCTCGATAAAGCTGCCTAAATCTAGACATCAATGGACCAAGCAATTTTACAATAGGGTCGCCGTCGAGGTATCGTCTCATTGACCTCTTCTCACGCCCTCTTTGCGACTCTCAACCACTTCGAAGCCTCGGCACTGCTGGCTGGCTCACTCTCACGCACCACCTGAAGGGAGAATAACGAGAATAGCAGACGAAATTGGGAAATATTTCCGTTCAAATCAATTTTACCCAAGTCCTCAATTTCTCACAAGTCCAGCTAAGTCTATCAAGACGCCATCCCTTTCTGTGAGTTAGCCTCGTACTCCTTGGAGTGCAGACTCCGTGTAAGTCACTCTTCGTTGGGTGCCATACTACTCGGTGCCCGCGGGCAGGGAGACGTCTACCGAGTAAGCGCGGTCAAGTCCTGTTACAAAAAGGAGAAGATAATATGTCCCCAGTATAAGCTTATTCGTCTAGTTCCTGGTTTATTTAGACTATAGATCAGCTTGATTCATCCTGAAAGGAACTGGCACCTACACCGTCGCCATACTGCTTCGAGCTCGCCGCGGTGGACCTCCATGTTTTCGGAGGGCGTCCTGGGACGAAACTATTTTACACGGCAGCTTGGCCGGCAATCCATCGCCAGGCAGATTGGCTATATGCTGGTTTGACTTGTTTTAAAAACGACAACGCTTCATCGCAACTAATGAGACGTTGTGGCACAAGTGAGGGTGAGGATAAGTTGAGCCAATGCCAGAACTGAGAGGGGTTGCGTACAGGGGGTACAACTGGACGCACAAGTTTGCTCAAATTTGAGAGGTACGGTTAGATATTTGGCTCATCTTCTAGTCAACCAGTAAAAAAAAGTATCCTTCGCAGTTCCTTCCCAAAGGTCACTGGCGAGCGTCATGGGCCAAGAAGGCTAAGGCCAACTCCCCCACAAGGCGCGCCCTGCTCTTGTTGTAACAAGCCCTCCTCGTCGAATAATCAATCTTCCAACCCAAGAATCATCTCTGCCCAATTTTCTTCCATTTTCCAGTATTTCTTCTTCATCCGAAATTTGCAGCCGATCCCTCTTACCGGCTGCGCACCAGCTTCCCCCTCCATCATGACATCACCCCTCCCCGGCGCTCACGACCCCTCCGTCGTCCTCGCCGTCGCCGACCGCGACGAGCAGCGGCAGGCGTGGCACGCCTCCCACCCGTCCTGGGGGGGCGGCCTCACGCTCGACCAGTACTGCGCGCGCGAGGAGGACCTCTTGACCACGGCGCTCGCCCGCGACGGCGGCCTGACGCCGTGGATCCTGACCGACGCCGCCTCCGGTCCGCGCCGCATCCTGTCGAGCTGCGAGACCCTGCGGAAGCGCGCCGTCGTCGCCCGCCCCGACGGCACCCTCACGGATGTCACGGCGCACGGCGTGGCCAGCGTCTTTACGGAGCCGGCGTGCCGCTCCCGCGGCTACGCCGGGCGCATGATGGCGCTGCTGGGCGAGGAGCTCGCCCGCCGGGAACAGACGGACCCCGGCGCCGCCGCCTTTTCGGTGCTCTTCTCCGACATTGGGCCGACATTCTACGCCAACCACCAGTGGATGCCCGTCGGCAACACGCACCTCGAGTTTCCCGTCGCCGCCGAGCCGCCCTCCTCCACGGTACCACCCGCGCACATCACCGAGCTCGGCGACGGGCACCTCGCGGCGCTGGCCGCGCGCGACGAGCAGCTCCTCCGCGCGCAGCTAGGCACGCCCTTCGCCGACAGCAGCAGCACCACGGTGCGCGCGGCCATCCTGCCGGATCTCGCGACGCTGCGGTGGCAGTATCGCCGCGAGGACCACATGCTGCGGCACTTTCTCGGCCGCGCGCCCCGCGTCCGCGGCGCGCTGTACACGCCGCCGCCAGGCGGGAGTGAGCGCCGCGTCTGGGGTCTGTGGGCGCGCTCGCGGTACGGCGGTGGCGCCGACGGCGACCCGGTCGTGACGGTGCTGCACTTTTTGCGGCTCGTCGTCGAGGACGAGGCCGCCACCGCGGACGAGGCGCTCGCGGAGGCCCTGGCGGGCATCATGGCAGTGGCGCGGCGCGAGGCGGCTGAGGCGAGCTGTCGGCGCATCGAGATGTGGAATCCGTCAGAACGAGTGCGGGCTGCGTTTAGGGACAGGTTGCCGCAGCTCGAGGGCAAGGTCGTCGAGCGCGACACGAGCAACCTCGCCAGCTTGCGTTGGTTTGGCGCCGGCTCTGTCGACAATGTCGAATGGGTAGCCAATGAAAGGTTTGAGTGGTGTTAAATGGCTATACGTTGCATACACGGGCTAAAAGACTGCACGTCACCCGTGGTAGATAGATTTGCACCACTTCATTCTCCGCAAAGCGTCATGTCTCATCAATTCGTATATTTTTTTTTCCGCACTCTATCATGACCATCAAGTCTAATGCCGGCAAAGAAAGGATTAATTAAGCAAACGCCGCCAGTACATGTGCAAGTTGCTTATGCCCACATCGTCTCCGATATACCCCACATCCATCATACTGCCAAATCCAAACACCTGTTTCCTAGTTTCTCTTGTTCGAGCTGCGGCCCTCGCAGTTTAGTAGCTACGGCCAAACATGGTCCACTTGTCCGCCTTGTTCTTGCAGTCGGGGTTCAAGCACTCGGTTTCGCCGGCAACGATACCCTCGGGCTGCTCAAAGGGAATGCAGAGCGACTTCATTCCCATGGTTGGGGCCTTCTGTCCCTCAGGAACATCGGGCTGCTCATCCACGCGAGTGGTAAGGTCCTTAATTCGGTCCTCGCACTTGCCATTGCCGCAGAAGGGGATGAGGACAACATTCTTGTTGTCAAGGGCGGGGAGAACCTCGTCCCAGTTGGTGATCTTGAGACGGTGCTCGCGGAATGCTGTCTCAGCCTTGTTGTACATATCCTTCTGGATGGTCTCGAGAAGTTCAGGGATCTTGGCGGTGAGCTCATCTAAAGCAACGGTACCCTTACCGCCAGTATCACGGCGAGCAAACGATACAACCTTGTTGGCGGCATCTTTGGGGCCAAACTCAATACGCAGAGGGACACCCTTCAGCTCCCAGTCGTTAAACTTCCAGGCGGGAGTGTAGCCGTCACGGAAATCGACATGGACGCGGACACCAGCCTTCTTGAGAGTGTGCTCAATATCAAGGACCTGTTCATCGTGCTGCTTGCGAGCTTCGGGGGTCGTGCTCTTTGTAATACCGACGGGAATGATGACTGCCTGGAGCTTAGCAATTCGGGGAGGGAGTACGAGACCCTTGTTGTCGCCATGGACCATGACCATGACGCCGATCACGCGAGTGGACAGGCCCCAAGAGTTCTGCCATACATACATCTTCTCTCCCTTGTTGACGGGGTCCTCAACAGTGATATCAAACATCTTGCTGAAGTTTTGGCCGAGGCAGTGGGAGGTGCCACCCTGGATACCACGGCCGTTGGAGGGGATGTAACCTTCAACAGTAGTGGTGTAGTACCCACCAGCAAACTTTTCGTTTTCGGTCTTGCGGCCCTTGACAACGGGGACAGCGAGAAGCTCCTCGTAGACTCCAGCATAGAAATCGAGGATCTGGAGAACCTCAACACCAGCAAGCTCCTCACTCAAGTGCGCTGTGTGACCCTCTTGCCACAAGAATTCGCGAGTACGCAGGAAAGGAGTTGTCTGCTTGGCCTCCCATCGTACAACAGAGTTCCATTGGTTCAGTCGCAGGGGAAGATCGCGGTGGCTTCGGATCCATTTGGCGTAGTAAGGGTACATGACAGCTTCGGAGGTGGGACGAACAGCGACAGGGACCTCGAGATCCTTATCACCACTGCGCGCACACATGTTAGTATGCCAGTATGAATCGCACCCTGTAATTGAATTGGAAATTTGTGCTTACGCCTTTGTGACCCAGGCCAGCTCAGGAGCAAAACCTTCAACGTGATCCTTTTCCTTTTCGAGAGACTTGGCGGAAAGGAACATGGGGAAGCTGGCCTCCTCAACGCCGAGATTCTCAATGCGTTCCTGGAACCATTTGCGAATGGTGCTCCAAATATACATGGAGATGGGGCGCAGAACAAAGAAGCCCGAAATTTCCTGGTAGTACTCGACCATTTCGGCCTTGAGAACAACTTCCTGATACCATAGTGGAAAGTTGTCGGCCTTGTTCACGGTAATACCGATGATATCGTCCGTCTTCTTGCCGCCAACGACGGGGACATTGGTCTGCTTGGCGGCGTTCTTAGCAGCCTTTGCAGCCTTGTCGGCCGCCATCTTGGCCTGCTTCTCAGCCTTCTTCAAGGCGCTCTTGGATTGCTCGGCGACATCTTCCATTGTGGCGGGATCGAGGCAAACGGGACAGTTGGTGGAGCTTCAGGGACTGTTAGAGCGCTTCGGTAGGAGGGCGGGATACTTGAAAGTGCTGACAGCTTGTTTAATTCCTTGTTCCACTTGTAAACTCGCCCAAGTTTATACCAACTAGAAGGCGAGGAGGCTTCTGTGTCGTTTGAGTCACTGCGAGAATGCGAGACAAAGAGGAGGGTGACAGGATTCGTTCGGGGTGTGACCACGAGAGTCCGAGCTATTCTTTTTGGTGGTGGGGAGACCCTGCCCCGCGCCCAGCGCCTGAAGATACCTAGGAGGGGCAGGCAGGCAATTTTCAGATTAGGGCAGGCCTGGCCAATCAGCAAAAGGCGGGTGGTCGAGCCGCAGTAGCCAACTGCTCAATGGGTGGCGCCGAAGTTTGCGTCGAGGCCCAAACGCTTTACAGCGGCCACAGTGGAATGAGTCTAGGCCGCTGGGCATCGAGAGCGACTGCGGCGCGCCAGTGCCAGCGGTGCCAGCGGGCACAAACCACGCTGAAGCATGCTGAACCACACAACCTCACACCCCCACACAATAACTCATAACTTTACCCGGAACTGGAACAATCTCTCCTTCCGAAGCTACCAACACCCACCTCCCCCAAAAAAAAGCTTCGAGGGGCAGATGGTCCACTGTGGAAGCTCGTGGTAAATTATAGCGTCGCGCAGGCAGAAACTCGATTCCAGCAATCACCACCACAAACCTCTCTTTCTGCCAATCGCCCGCGCCGTCTCGCATCGCTGCAGAAATGGCGTCCATGTTTGAACAGCCAGGGAACGGCACTCTGTTTCTCGGTGGCCAGAAGATTTCCGGCTCCGATATTCGTGATCAAAATGGTACGTCGTTGACTCCTCGCCGCCGCCATCCCACCACAACTGCTAATTCGCCTACCTTACCTGCCAGTGCTGGCCACGCAAGCCATTGCAAATGTTGTCAAGAGCTCCTTTGGCCCTAGCGGCCTCGACAAGATGATGGTCGACGACATTGGTGTAAGCTTATTTTTGCTTTGGCGCACCTCCCCTGCCCCTCGCCGTTTTACTCACCGTAAACTAGGACGTCACCGTCACCAACGACGGCGCCACCATCCTCCAGCTCCTCGACGTCGAAGACCCGGCCGGCAAGATCCTCGTCGACCTCGCTCAGCAGCAAGACAGGGAAGTCGGTGATGGCACAACCTCAGTCGTCCTCATCGCCGCCGAGCTCCTCCGTCGCGGCAACGAGCTCATGAAGAACCGCATACACCCCACCACCATCATTACTGGCTACCGCCTTGCTCTCCGCGAAGCCGTCAAGTACCTCCAGGACAATATAAGCATCAAGGTTGAGAATCTCGGCCGCGACTCCCTCATCAACATTGCCAAGACTTCCATGTCAAGCAAAATCATTGGCGCCGACTCCGACTTCTTCGCCAACATGGTTGTCGACGCCATTACTGCCGTCAAGACAACCAACTATAAGAATGAAGTCAAGTACCCAGTCAAGGCCGTCAACATCCTCAAGGCCCACGGCAAGGGCGTCCTCGAGTCCGTCCTCATCAAGGGTTACGCCCTCAACTGTACTGTCGCCTCCCAGGCCATGCCCACCAATATCCAGGACGCCAAGATTGCTATTTTGGACATGAACTTGCAAAAAGAGCGCATGAAGATGGGTGTTCAGATTACTGTCGACGACCCTCAGCAACTGGAGCAAATCCGTGCTCGCGAGTCTGGCATGGTTCTAGAGCGAGTTGACATGATCCTCAAGGCTGGCGCCAATGTCATCCTCACTACCAAGGGCATTGACGATCTGGTACTGAAGCTATTTATCGAGAGAGGCGCCATGGGTGTCCGTCGCTGCAAAAAGGAGGATCTGAGACGCATCGCCAAGGCAACCGGTGGCACCTTGCTAAGCACCCTTTCCGATCTTAACGGTGACGAGAAGTTTGACCCCTCGTACCTCGGCCATGCCGACTCTATCGCCCAGGAACGCATATCCGACGACGAGTGCATCATTCTTCGCGGACCCAAGAACCATTCCGCCGCCTCATTCATTCTGCGCGGTCCCAACGACTACACGCTCGACGAGATGGAGCGTTCCATTCACGACTCTCTCTGTGCTGTGAAGCGTACTCTTGAAAGCGGCAGCATTGTCCCCGGTGGTGGTGCGGTCGAGACCGCCCTTCACATTTACCTGGAAGAGTTCGCTGGTACCGTCGGCTCGCGCGAGCAGCTTGCCATTGGCGAATTCGCCCAATCCCTCCTAGTCATTCCCAAGACGCTGGCCGTCAACGCTGCCAAGGATTCCTCAGAGCTCGTTGCGCAGCTCCGCTCAAGACACGCGCTGTCCCAGCGCATCCAGGAGGGTGAAGCCAACGAAGACGAGAAGACGGTCGCCCGCAAGAAGGGTTACAAGAACTATGGTCTCGATCTTACGCGCGGCAAGGTCGTAGATGAGCTCAAGCTTGGCGTTTTGGAGCCTAGCATGAGCAAGGTTCGCCAGCTAAAGAGTGCCGTTGAGGCATGCATCTCCATCATGCGTATTGATACCCTCATCAAGTTGGACCCTGAGCCGCCCAAGGATGATGGCCATGGCCACTAAGAAAGATTTGAGATGAAGTGAAGGGGAAAAAAGTGAAATACAAGTGAAAAAATCACCATATATGTAATTAGAGTAGATGGGTGGGAACATTACAAATGCAAAAGGTTCACACAAAAGCGCAAGAAGTATAAAGAGGGATTGCACTTCCTTGCGTACAGGATAGACGAAGGGATGAAAAGAAACGAAAAGCTGACCATATTACTAATACATCGTCGTTCTTGCGCCAATATATGTAACTCAGAACAATGTCTTGGACGGTCACATGCATTTCCCAGAAGATCGCGGGGTGCAGCGTCTTGCTTCACAAGACGTTGCGTGCACGCCGAGTAATCAGTATCGTGTAAATGCATCTTGTAACAAAAGAAAATTAATTTCATGGGAAACTTTGAATTTATACAATGTTCGCCTGTAGCAGTTCCCCCACGTCTAATAAAGGCAAAAAAGAAGGGATCAACGAGGTACCCATGCCCGTGATCTTGGGAGGATTATCCTCGCCCTGTTCTTTCGTCCTCCCTCTGTGCGTCTTTCCATCACTCCCAATAAAAAAACACCAGCCGCTTTCTAATGCCTCCTTTCTCGTTTCGGAAAAAAACTTCAACAACGGAACAAAAGAACACCCCGTTCATATTCTTACAACGCAAAATTTGGCGTATTGTGTATGTATGTGTTTGTTTTTTTGGCGAATGTTGTTCTTCTTGTCAGATGCTGAGGGTTCGTTAACCGATGATGAGCTTGTCCTCCTCGGGGAATTCGTAGGCGGGAATCTCGAGGTTGAGGGGCGCGGGGCCTCGTCTTATACGGCCGGAGATGTCGTAGTGGGAGCCGTGGCAGGGGCAGAACCAGCCACCATAGTCGCCGGCCTCGCCAATGGGGACACAACCCAGATGGGTGCAGACACCTATTCACACTGTTAGTCGTCTGTCACGGATATCGGGGGCCAGTGAGGAGCAGGGCGTCGATTGGCCAAACGTACCCAGCATGACAAGCCACTCGGGCTTCTGGACACGGTCGTCGTCGGACTGGGGGTCGCGGAGGGAGGAGATCTCGACCTTGTTGGCCTCGGCAATCTCTTCGGCGGTGCGGTGGCGGATGAAGACGGGCTTACCACGCCACTTGATGATGACCTGTCCGGGTGGGAGAAGGCTCGGTTAGCATGCGCGGACGGGAGGATCGGGTCGCGGCGATGCGAGGAGATTGCTTACGTTCTTGCCCTCCGGGATGGTGCTGAGGTCAACCTCGACCTTGGCCATGGCCAAAACGTCGGCAGAGGCGGACATGTTGATAAGGAACTCTGTAAATAACAGCCGGCGTCAGCGACTCCTGCTCCAATTTTAGGTGTTCCTGGTTTAATCATGCTGGGGGGCGCATCCTGTAGCCATTGGCGGCCAATTGGCTCGGGTATTTATCGCACGTCAGGTGTAGCGCATCCCCAGCAGGTGTCGTCGGCGTAAATCGATGGAAATTCCTTACCTTGAACCGTGCTCTTGGCGCCCGCGGCCGTCAGGGCACCCATGGCACCGACCATGAAGTACGAGAACAGCTTCTGGTTGCCCTCGGGCTTGGCCGACATGTACTTTCC